GTCCCCGCTCCACCCTCGGCGGCCGTGCCTTCAGCCACTACGCCCCGAGGCTCTGGAACTGCCTTCCGCGCTCCCTTCGTCTCGCCCCCTCCCTTCCCATTTTCAGGTCTCTGCTGAAGACCTTTCTTTTCGACCGCGCCTTTGGTCACCTTCCTCTTCCCACCCCCCCCTGGCTCGGCCCCGGGATCCGTTAGTGTGAAGCTCTGAGACGCCGTCCGGCGTGGAGGGCGCTATATAAATCCAAGTTGTTGTTGTTGTAATTCCAACAGTTAGCCAGTTGATCAATGAGGACAGCGTTTGCATCAGCAAGTCAGGGCAGTGCTCTCGCCCCTCTCCGCACAGACCTGACTAAACGGCTTGCACGCTTGCTTTTCGCGAGGCAAATGAAAACTTTCTGCTTTTTAAGAAAAAGCTGATCAGGGAAAGATGGCTCGCAACTAAATGCTTTGCAAGAGACCTCGGTTTGTTCGGGGTTGGCAGCTTAATCGGTTCATTTGGCGCGATGGGGTGGAGAGTGGGGGGGGGGAGACCTTTAATCAGTCTGTGGTCTCGCATTTCATCCTGGAATGTTGCTGCTGCGGAAAGTTTGGCAGATTCTGTGTGAGTGTCTGTGGGATCTACTCGCCACATGCCCATAGCACGAGGTTTTTTTTTATATACCGCGGTAACAATGCTGAGTGGATAATCAGATACTACAACACGCTGCTGCTCTGTGGTTTGCTACCATATGCCTTGGCTAACTGTCGTACTGTGGGATGGCTGTTCGGGCAAATTTGTCAAGCCAGTAATTCATCACAGTAATAACTGTTGAAACGATGCTGTGCCTCACGCAGCGATGGAACGTAAGGATTAACATATTGCATGGGTATTAAGCTGCGTGATGAAATGGGTCAGAGAACGAGACATAAATGGACTGGGCTGAGTCTGCAAAAACACAGGGCCAGCACAGAGCAATTAACTCGGTTCCGAGAGAAAATCATTCTACTTCAAATTTGGAGCTCGGTTGGGGTGCTTGGGAATGAGAAGGTTGTTTGCTACAGGGATTTTGAGCGTCCCAGCCCCCGGCAAGACACCTCCACGCAGTGGGCTGTATTGTCAGAGGTGCCGTCCTCAGGATGGGACGTTAAACCCAGGTCCCGTCTGCCTGTTCAGGTGGATGTCTCCCGAGATGTCTTTGAGACGTCTCGAAGATATGATAAGGCGCTATATCAAGATAGAAGGATTATTATTATTATATAAGAGCCTTGAGATGGTTGTTCTTTTTTATTATTATCTTAGTATCAGTGGTGTTTTGCAGGTCACAACGCCCCTTTAAGTGTTGGGATGCACCTCAGATATTCACCCATGTGGTGACTTCAATAAGTATTGTCTGGGCTCCAGGCAGAGACAGAGTTCAAGTTGACCTGATGGGTGGTCACAGAACGTATCTCCCAGATGGCATTGGGTGGGGTGGGTGGCGGAGGCTAACTCTTGGATGCACAGACCCCAGTCGTTCACAAAACCACGACATAGTTCCAAGTCTTCACGTGTGCCAAAGCTTACAAAGACCAGATGATATATATCAATAATTTCACACTGTGCGAAAGATCAGGCCACTCACACATGTCGTTGCGTACACTGGGGTTTTGGCACATTTCTCATGTTTGCGTGTTTCTGAGGCATTGCCTCAAATCGAAGTCTTTGTCAGTTGTGCAATTTCATTTTGAAACCTTCCATGTCAAGAGGAGGAAGGCCGTTTGGCCCATCGAACCTTTGTCGTCATTTTATGAGTTTTGTAGCTAGATCTTTTATTCCTTTAATCCCATTTCTCCACCTGCTCCACATCGCTTGGAGCCTTTACCTCCCAAGTAAACACCCAGTCCAACTGAGCCAGGCTAACACTTGATCTATGGTGACGTTTGACAAACAAAGCATGGGAATGGAATAAAATTCAGTCACTTCGCAATAATACAGCATTGCTAAACAAAAATGCAAATGTCCTAAAGGACCACTGGGAGACCAAGGGAATTCCATTCAGAAATCTGGGCCATGGGTTTGATGAGATTATTTGGCCACTGGTTGCAAGCATTATCTTCCTCCTGAATCAGTACGTCTGCTGAACTCCACAGCAACTCCACAGGCATTGAGACCTCCTCCTGACGTGAGCGAAACAATATGAATGTAAATCGGGTTGTATATTGCATTGTATTATGCAAAATTTGGGGTTCAAGCCTCATTGTCGGGGACGCTGTGTGTTTTGTGTCCAAACACGGCAGCGATTTTGCGCAAATAGTGATAATGCAAATACCAGGATTATTATTATTATTATAAACGCGGGTATTTATGGTTCAGAGGCTGATGATGGTGGGTGGTGTACTCACAGGGTTAAGAATTGTGACATACTCACCGCGCATTTATCGAGAGGCAATCTACAGATGTTGATCACGAGGAAACAACCCAGTCAGTGTCTACGCACGTCACCCACATAAGCACGTAGCTTCTTCAATTACCGTCAAGACTGTTAGCGCTTCTGTTACCCTGAGATGTGGCGGGGAGGCGAAGCAAATTGTTTACCCACCTAGAACCTGACCTCGTTCACAAAGCACCACGGAGTACAGCGACAGATGTGACGGATTTACTATTGCATCTGTCACTCTAACTGGCCTGGAGGGAAATGGGACTAAATAATATTTGCATTTCGCTTAATTTAGGGGCATATTGAAATAACAGAATATTTGCAGCAGAAAAGAGGCCAAGAAGCCATTCAGCCCCCAGTGTCTCTCGCTCCACCACTGGAGCTCTCTCCTCTTATCCTATTCTCCTGCTCTTTCCTCCATTGTGTATGCACTGGTTTTTAGCTTTGCCACAGGGAGCTCTTTGCTCTATTACGTTCACCCAAGTATTTATCTGATTCCCTTATTAAATGCTGTTATGGACTGAGTTTCGATAGTCATTTGTGGTGAGGTATTTGATATTCTAACAACGCTTTTTTTTTGGGTAAATGAAACGCTTTTATTCTTTCTCTTCTTGCTTCCGGTGACATTCTTCGCTTAACACCCTCTTGTCACCAATTGCTTCAAGTAGTCGTTATCCAGTTGCTCATCACAGTCGCTCAGAATTTAGAGTCACTGCATTGTAGAGCACTATTTCTTTTAAAAACGAAAGAGGTGGGCGGTGAGGGGGAGGGAACCAAATAACAACCAACTGATTTGTATATAAAGAATTGCACATGTCGGGGTCTAATTTGTGGATTTGTAATGCGGACGGGATAACGAGGGAATCCTGGCATTCTCTAAAACGGATCCCCTCACTCCACAGGTTCCCTGCTCCGACACGGGTGCAGGTTGTGAAAGTTCCCGCGCTCGCCGTGATGGACACCTCAGTTGACCGACAGTGTTCACCACTGAGCGAATCCGCTTGGCTAATAGGCAGATTAGGCCACAATGCTGCTGCGCCCTTGTCTTTGGCTCAGAGCAAAAGCCTCGTTGCTCCTTTTTTTTGTTCCTCAGAGCGGTTCTTGTGGTACATTAGCATCATTTGCAAAGCACTCCCACCTCCTCCCACCTGGGTCAGAAGGCTATGGGTTCAAGTAACACGTTGGGAATTTGACGCTGTATGCTGACGCTTATAATCTAAGCCTTAAAACTAGACCGTTTAGCAATGAAATCAGAAGACATGTCTTTACTCAGAATCTTGTAGGATTGTGGTGCAGTTGGGCTGTCTTTTGGATGAGACATCAAACTGAGACGTTACCAGTCACTTGAAGTCATCGCTTTCTAGTTGCTCATCAAAGCCGTTCAGAATTTAGAGCAACTGCATCATCCAACAATTTTTTTTTTTAAAAAAGAGAGAAGAGAGGGGTGGGAGGAAACCGAAGAACAACAAACTCATTTATATGTAAAGAATTGTACATATCCCGGGCAGGGGGCGAAATGTTGGGCAAGTTTCCTTACTCCGCACGCCTCTGTTTGCCCGGCAGTAAGTAGGAACCCGGTTGTTAGTCGATTGGCGGATCGCTTTTCCGGGGGTAATAATCCCTTCCAAAAAAAATTATAATAACAAATTTGGTCGCTCAATCCACGACTGTTTGTGGGACGCTGCTGTGCGCAATTGGCTGCCGCGTTTCACCCACCAAATAAATAGACGGTCGATTCACTTTACGGTATGTTCTGTGAAGCGCTTTGAGACGTCTCGAAGACGTGATAAGGCGCCGTATCAAATGCGAGGATTGTTATTATAATGTCGGCGTCGAAATTGCGTACTTGTGATGCGGACGGACTAACTAAGGAATTTAGGCTTCATCCCAAATGGATCCGGTCTGCTGTTCTGGTGGACGTTCAAGATCCCATGGCACGACTTGAAAAGAGAAGGGAGTTACTCTCGGCCAGCAAGAGCCCAAACAAACATTGGTCGTTCACTTCACGGCTGTTTGTGGAACATTGATGTGCACAAATTGTGAGCCGTGTTCGACTGCTTATTGCACAGTCACTACGTTTGAGAGAAATAATAGGAGGTGCTTTGAGGTGTTCTCAATGCTTTTTCAAATGCAAAGATTATTATCAGTAGGTAGTAAGTTAATAGTTATTGCAGTTGCACTCGGATCTCTCTTCATCAGCCGCCTGCCCTCTTACACTGAAGGAGAGCTGCTCTCACCGATCAAACCACTGCTTTATTCTCCTGCAATTTTGTTTTAAAATGAACTCAAGATTATCGTAAGATTACCCACTGTAGTCCGCCGCACAGGCCTGGTCCTTAGAAATGGTGCAGTGTGCAATGTTCCATCGCTGTACTGCTAGGGAAACAGAGGCGTGTGGAGTAAGGACACGTTGCCTAAGCTTTTGCCCTGACCAGGAATCCCTCGCGATGCGAGTGCTCCCATCCAATACGCCGCACGGGTTTGTGCTTTTCTGCTGACGGTTTAGGGCCTGAGCACGAGTTTCACGGAGCGAGCGAGAGGAAATATCCGGTGCCTGGCGCGTCCACCGGTGGTGACGGCTCTCTCTCTATTCTTTTCTCCGCAGGAGCAAGGGAAAATCGGAGTTATTTTTAATGTTGGGACAGATGACATTAGCATCGAAGAGTCGAGTGCTATTGTAAATGATGGAAAGTACCACATAGTACGGTTTACAAGGAGCGGTGGGAATGCCACACTGCAGGTGGACAACTGGCCTGTCATTGAACGCTATCCATCAGGTAACGTGTTCGAGTCCGGCATAGACTCGTTTCTCTCTCTCTCTCTCTCTATATATATATATAATATATATATTTGTGTGTGCTTATAGAGCAGTAAAGTTTCTGTGTGGAATTAAACGATTTAGAAATCAAGCCAGAGCTACTGCATGTGGGTAACTACGGATCTGCTCGCAGTTGAAGGAAAATCTGGCGGCAAAGGTCAAGGTGGCTGAGAATTGTTTTTATTTTTCTGTGTGTGGCTCACCACCGACAATCGTCTCTTATATGACTGCCTAGCACGTCAAATAATAATTTTTTTTTCTCCCAGGGGATGGCGGTTTGGGGGTGAGGGAGGGAGGAGGGAGGGAGGGAGGGAGGGAGGGGGAACGGAGGGGGAGATGAGGGAAAATGTCAGTGAACCAGACGTCAAAGACATAATGATGCTAAATGTCAGATCTCTGATAAAGAAAAAAAAATCAACGTTTAAGCAGTTGAAAGGCTTTGACAAAAGCTGTGCAGTGTCAGGAATAGGGAATTTGGGTCAGAGATTTCTGACAAAATTGTTTTCTGCCGAATTGTTATGCTCTCTCTCTCTCTCTCTCTCTCTTTCTCTTTCTCTCTTGCGAACGCACTGTTTTCTTCTTATAGGCAAGCCATATCTCACACGAGCCGGTTTAAAACGCTTTGCCATGTACTAGAAGCAAAAGGGGGATTTTCCTCTTGAACAAAATCTCGCTGTCAAATTGTTTTCTTTACACGACAAAAAAAATGCACTCAGTCTCCGTTCCTAGGGCGTCCCTCCGCGTTTTTCAAGTTAAAGCGATTTGTTAAGAGTGAACGGCAATTTAAAACCACTGTGATGATGAACGGGCGTCAAACTATTAAGGTTTTCCTTTATTTCCCCTTTAAGTGTTGAATGTTGATAACGGTGTGGCGAAATGTGCAGTGGGTATTGGTGTGACAAGAGAAGGTCAACTACTTGAATGTCTAATGCATTGAAACACAGAAGATATCAAATATCAGTGGGTGTATTGCATTCTGTGGACAGTGTGTGAATATTTGCATCCTGCCCTACATTGTAAACAGAGAGGAACCTACAGCCTCAGCAGCCTCGGGCTATTGCACAACCAGCTCCTGGAACATGAACACGACTATAGCGAGAGGTGTGGGGGGGGGGGGAAATACTTCTAAGGATTTTCAAGCACTTAATATGCACGCTGCATCTGAGATCCTATCTTCCATTAGTCGTCTAAAAATGGGCATAGAACAAAAGGCCGTGATACGAGCCGCGATCGGCAGCTGGTGCCGGGTTGAGGAATAATGATACAAGACGCACCGCAGTCTCACCGCAAGGACCCAAGCTTTGGGATCGCAAATGCGCTAAGAATGATACGGATTCGCCGCCGCACACGCAAATGCACGCAACTTACACACAAGCGCACGCACGCACACACACACGCGCACACACACGCACGCACACACACAGCAACAACCAAGCCAAAAGGGTTTGGCAACCGCAGCATTGATCCGCAAGGAGTCGTAAATACATCCAAACAAGTCGGACACAAAACGGCGGCTCTTTGTAAGCGCTAAGACTTCAAGGTGACTTATTCCGTTTCAATTCGCACACCTCGCGTTTCCCGAAAGCACGCGAATGGTTTGTTTTCGAGCGGGAGCTAAGCAACGAAAGGGCATTGCGCTGAAAAGAAAACCTCCAGCGGTGATTTTTTTAAAGTTGCGAAACGTTCCCTCTCCGAGAAGGAGCCAAGCTTCCTGAACGTTTCGCTCGACATAAAACGCAACGCACCCTCCGCGCACGACAATCAGAGTCGATCCCAGCGCTCCGCCCAGCCCAGAGAGAGAAAAAAAAAAACAGCCGCTTATGTAAGCCGTGAAAATGGCTTGAAAATAGAGATGATGTGAGCCACAAAATCAGTTGTACACTAATGAGCAATGAGAGATGGATTTCACAGCATTACTCCCCTACTCAATGAATCAAATTAACTGAAGCTGTTGAAGTTATCTTTCCCTGGCATGTTCTACAAAAAATTCTGGCATGAACATTAATTTTTTTTTAAGAGAAGGAACCCATTGCACGGAAATCAATCTGCATTTTTTTTTTTTTTTTTTGCCTAAGGTACGAAAGTGAATTAATTGCTTTGACATGTGCAATACCCAGGAAAATTCACCGCAGGACAAAAAAGATGCATCACAGGGAAAGAAGTTACTGTTCCACTGTTTTGCCAAAAAAGTAAACTGCTTTAAATTTGTGCCTTGACCCTGTAATGCATCAACTCAACGCAATGAGGTCTTTAATTACAGATTAATTAACGTTTTATTCGTGTAAAAAAAAACCCACAGCAATCCAGTCGCGGAGACCTTCCAGAGGATTAAAGACTTCTTTTGTAGTAATATTGCTTGTTCCTAACCTTCCAATTTTAGGGACAGCCGATATGGAAATCCCGTCTACTTATCTACTCGTGGCATTTCTTTTTATCTACGCTATGAGGTTGGGTCTTACCGTCAACGATGTGAAAGGCGCTCTACAAGTGTAACTTTGTTGTTGTTGTTGTTGTCAGTTTCCTGGATATCTTCATTAGGTTTGTGGTTTGTGAATTCACGTCCTGAATTCGGCTGAGACGCTTCGGTCTATTTGGAGGGATTCAAAAGGAAATGAGAAAGAAATCTGATCCAGGGCAATTTTACACAAATTTGGCGAAGGCCACGGGGGCATTTTGTGCGGCAACTTTCAGCCAATTCAGAGGTGGTGGACACCGGGAATTCCTCAGAATACTCTGTGGGCCATTTAGGAAAGCGGAACATTTGATCCAATCGACCTACTTCCCAGCCCACTACTGCTGGGAGAACGGGAAGACCGCAATCTAATTGCACTTTAAAAACAAATGCCATTAAATTCTACACTAACGAAAATTTTTATTTCTTGACAGCAGGAAGAAGAAATGGTAGCAATACCACCGAGAGTGCCGTGAAATATGTTTTATCGTCCATAAATTTGACTCCGTGGGTAACTAAAGATCAAAGCTAGGGCATGTTTTCCCCACCCCTCATCCCACCCCTTTCTGCTTATTCCTGACTGAAATGGGATAAAATTCCATGGGTTCCTCAACTAAACGTGAGTCCACACAGTGAGCAATCAGTGGACTATTCAGAGCTGGAAAGGTTCACAGCCAAGCCTGACGCTATCCTCTTCTGTTCTACACACGTACAGACACCCGCGCACACATTTTCCAACAGAGGTCACGATAGTGGTGATCAGAAGCAAGAATCCTACCTAATTTTTTTTTCTTGCCCCTGGCCCAGAGGCAGTAAAGCATTGTAGATAACTACCATCGATCGCGCTGCTTTAAAAGCTAATTTATTGATTGCAGTGCTTTTTAATTGATTTTAAAGACGCACGGTATGAGCGCGGACGGTTAAAGCAGGGTGTGAGCCAAAGCATTAGGTGCTAAAATGACTCGACCATTGTTGCAAACCAATTTTAAATGATAAGCACAAGAACCGGCATAAGCCACATTATATTTCACTTCTATCTCATGCGCTAATTCAAACGCGAAATTGTGCGACTAATTGCAAGTTTGCATGTTAAAAACCACAACTATTCTGATGTCGATTGCACCGCGTTCCCATCGAGTGGCGATCACTCACTGTTCCAGTTCAATATTCAATGTCAAAAGGATTATATTTCAATGTGTTGTCACAGAGTTAGTCGAGGTTTCCAGCCCCTTGACCATAACTCATGAGAAGTACAGGTGAAATGCCAGGTGTAGTGTTGTGGCCTAATCACTGGTGTATTGGAGTCCTGTAGCTCAGTGGTTACAGCACTCGCCTGGCAAGCGAGAGGACCTGGGTTCGATTCCCGGCCAGGGCTAAACGTTGGGCAAGTTTCCTTACTCCACGCACACGTCTCTCTTTACCCAGCAGTAAGTAGGAACCCGGTTGTTAGTCGATCAGCAGATCGCTTTTCCAGGGATCACAATCCCTTTAAATAAATAATAGTTTGGTCACTCAATCCACGACACTGGAAGACGTGATAAGACGCTGTATCAAATGCAAGGATTATTATTACTTAGCAGACTGCAGAGGTGAACTTCTCTTTCAATCTGAGGTTGGCCTTCACAGGGAAGAGTGCGGGAAGAGAAATTGGGGGATGAATGAACCCTTTCACAGAACCAGACAGAGCGTGTCATTTCTGCTCACCCCATTCATCACGGATGACGCAATGTGAGAGAAAAAAAACATAATTTGCAAATAAAAACTCAACAAGCAATAGATAAAGCTGTTCGGAGAACTGAACTTTCGCTGTGCTGTGACCTTACTTACAGAAAGACTCTTTATTGTGCATTGTGATTCTTTTTCCCTGATCCAAAGAGTCAAAAGGCATTTTGAGATTTCGTAAGATAACTTTATTACTTTGGGTTTCAGTCAGCGTGAATCGAATTGTTCGCTTCTCGAGCACTGTACACCCTGCACCTGTTCTCCCTGAGAATTGAAACTTCAGGTCTCTGGCACTCGTGGGAACGAAAGGCTCTTAGGGAAATAGCATCCTTACCCGCATGGTAACACGGACAATCTTTCCGTCCCCTGAACCACAAGTGCGGCGTAAGAAACAAAAATCGCACTTCCCATCACTGGAAGTGCTTTATCGATCGAGTCAGTATAAGTTTTTTTTAGAGCTTCCCAATATGAAAAGGAATCACTTTGAGGAATCTACCCGAGCTGGTTGGAAGCAGAGAGGTTTGATCCAGTACGAATTATTATGTCACAAAACAACATTGATTTCAAAACTGTTTGCCTTGGCTGACTGATGTGTTTTGTCAGGGACTAGAATTTGCAGTCCTCATTTTTGAAAGATGTGTCGGAAGAAATGATGGTCGTGTGGTGCAATAACGATAGATGACAATTGCCGGCAGCAAGCTCCAGTCCAAATGAAAGGAAAGCCTTCCTCCTTCATCAAAGCAATAATACAGCAGAAGTGTGGGTACCAGTGGCCAATTTGTGCATGGCTTGTAATTATCCTCCGCTTTGCTAGGCTGGCAGAGCAGCGTGGAGTCCTGTGGCTCAGCGGTTAGAGCACTCGCTTTGCAAGCGAGAGACCTGAGTTCAATCCCAGGCAGAGGGCGAAGCCTTGGGCAAGTTTCCTTACTCCACACAGAGCCTAATAATAATCCCTCCAAAACCCAAAACAATAAAAAATTGGTCATTTTCAATCTACGACTGTTTGTGGGACATTGCTGTGCGCAATTGGCTGCCGCGTTCGCCCACAAATATACAGTCAATTCACTTTACAGTGTGTTCTGTGAAGCGCTTTGGGACGTCCTCTCGACGTGAAAAGCGCTATATCAAATGCAAGGATTATTATTATTATTATTATCACGCACAGACCTTTTTAGCAAAGTTTTTGCAAAGATAGAGTTCTGATGGCTGTAGGTCAGAGATCCTAATGGATAGATCACCTGAACGCATGCCCTGAAAGCCCATGCGGCAGCCGTACGATCGGATTCTAGTTCTGTTCTAATTTTTCAGATGTTGGACCTCGCAGCGGTTTCCAAAGGTTATTACAGATTACAGGGAGTGTGTGTACATCCCTGGCAGTAAGATAAAATTGCATTGTTATCCAAGGGTCTTGATCANTTTTTTTTAAAAGGTGCTTCAAGCACCAAAAATAGAAATGATTTAATAAGTGAGGTTGGTTATAGAGCAGACATGCCCTCAGGATAAAATATAATTCGATTCTTGACTCCCTTTCAGATCCAGGTGAAGGAAAATGAATAGCAATGCAAAAATTAGCCGCTTGTAATTCTTTTCACAATTCCTTTAGCCGATAGGTGCAGAGCTTTGTTTTCAATTCACTTGTTTCACTTGAATCCGAGGATGGGAACCTATTCCCATGCGGCGCTAACCTTCATTGGGTTGTGTCTGAAAGCAACATTCAAGTCCTGTAGCTCAGTGGTTAGAGCACTCGCTTTGCAAGTGAGAGACCTGAGTTCAATTCCATGCAGAGGGCGAAACCTTGGGCAAGTTTCCTTACTCCACACAGAGCCTAATAATAATCCCTCCAAAACCCAAAACAATAATAAAGTGGTCATTTTCAATCTACGACTGTTTGTGGGACATTGCTGTGCGCAATTGGCTGCCGCGTCCGCCCACAAATATACAGTCAATTCACTTTACAGTGTGTTCTGTGAAGCGCTTTGGGACGTCCTCCCGACGTGAAAAGCGCTATATCAGATGCAAGGATTATTATTATTATTATTCAACCGTCTCACACGAATATTAAAGATTGAGTCGCAGTCCCTCTCTGCAAACCTAAAGAGTGGTAATAATCCAAACACAGCAACAATTCAAATTCCCCCTCGCAGTAATCCACCAACATTGAAGTATGCGCCCAGTCCAAATGCACAGGTAACAGATACGTCAAACAGTTGTGATTTATGGAGCAGTACAGCATATAGAGCTTGATGATTAACGTGGGGAGGGGGAGGGTGAAGGGAAATTCATTGAGGGCTGTATTTTCAAATAAGTGCCTCTACGTTATGAAACTGATCTTATTATGACGGCAGTCAAGTGATTGACGAGATTGCTGATACAAACTCATCCTGATGGTATTCAGTCTCAGTCAGTTGTGATTTGCTGAAGTGCAATGTAATGTCACTTAATTTGGAACAATAATGCTAATATTTGAAGGTTCAGGCGACTGCAATCCAGTTCTCCGCACTTTCCATTGTTACTAATATGGGATTTTTGCTGATAAATTGAAAATAAGCAGCTGCCTCGGAGTGTTTCACACCCAGAGGATCGGGTGAAATCACAGACCACAAGAAAGAAAAAGGTTTAATAATAATAATAATAATAATTATCCTTGCATTTGATACAGCGCTTTTCACGTCGGGAGGACGTCCCAAAGCGCTTCACAGAACACACTGTAAAGTGAATTGACTGTATATTTGTGGGCGAACGCGGCAGCCAATTGCGCACAGCAATTAATGTTTCTGAACGTCATTCAACTCGTGACGGAGGTTTATGGCATTAGAAGCACTCCGATTCATGATTTGTCCTGAACTGCGTAATACAGACTTACATTTTCTTTTTTCCCCCTCCACTGTTGACTTTTTCCTGATGGTTCCATTATTCTCTTCCACTTCTCTTTTGCTGCCTTAATTATTGCTGCCAAGGTCTGCCCTGTGGTGTCCAGGAAGATGCTGGAAAGCAAAGAGACACGATCCTTTCATACTAATACAAATTATGCATTTGCGATCACCAGGTCATAATAATCCGACAGGTTCTCTAATCCCATGTGGAGATTGGAACATCCTTCAAATTAATTTAGTAAAATGCTGCTGTTCTGACTTTATTTTTGACGTTTTAGTGTTGGTTTTCTTAGAAGTCGCACAACGTCACACAGTGCATTTCGCGTTGTGAAAGCTTTTGGAACCCCCGAGAGTGTAAAATTTCTTATTTGACTTATTAAAATGACTTATTTTGGCCCAAAGAGGAGTCGCTTTCCTCGTTTTAATTTTTTGCGCGAGTCTTTCCAGCTCGTAGCAAAAAGAGTAAACACTGTTCGGATCAATAATTCCGGCAAACAACTCGAAGGAACCCAAAGTGTACGTGTTTCGAGTTATTCGATCATTACCCACACGCTCTGTTTGCGTACTTGGGCTAATAGCACGGAAACTGAACTGTACACACTTTCAAGTGCACCCATTCGAAGTAGATTACTCCCGGATAATAAAATATCTTGGAGGCGTTAATCCACACATTGAAATGCCACTCTCGACCGTGGTGAAGAAAAGACTAAAGTACTTGCTTTGCCACGGGGGCCTCTTCTGTCACCTCGGTTCTGACAACCAACAGATTTTATCTTCTCAGTGCCATTTTCCATCAGTGGCGGAGAGCCTTCGGCTTTCTCCTTGCGAGCTCTCGTCCAAAGCAATGACCTCTCTCTCTCTCGTTGTTCCAGTCGGTTGGCTTCTAACCTCGCAGAACCCTCCGAGAATGGGATGACACTTTTGCACTCTCGGACAATGTGATGGAAGTGACAAGCAATGAGAGAGCACCTGCTCAGTTCTAACCGTCTCTTTATTTCCGAGGAGGCGTCCCTTATGCATTTGAAATCGAGATATGTCGGTGCTGTTCAAACCAAAATGATCTTATCTGCCCCGAACGTACAGATTTGCCCATGAAAATACACAGTCACGACAATAAAATCACGTGAAGGGCTTCGAGACGTTCCTTCCCCCCCCTCTTCCCCCCCCCCCCCCCCCCCCCGATGTGAAAGGCACGACATCAAACACAAGGATTAAATAAAATCAGCTAAAGGTGCTAATTGGAATTAGGAGTTAGTGATTTTCATTCAAAGTAGGTCTGAAAGGGTCCGATTGATGATTGGATGTATTGCATCGGAACATTTTGCAGCTTCGATGTCTACCTCGAAGACATTTGATAAGTAAATCCTGGACTACTCAGCCCCGTCAAAATTATAACTTCAAATTGAACTGTAGGGCTGTGCTTTCTTTCAGTAGCAACGTGACAGCCGGGATTTAATGACCCAAGTGTTGCAGGTTAGAATCTGAATTTGCTGATCATACATTGGACTAATCCCAAGGAATTTCAGCGGTGGTTGGAGTCTACAGCGCAGAATAAGCAGGACCCACATTTGTTTGGAAATGTTACGAGATGGACAAAAAAGCAGCGAGAGAGAGATATCTTTTGTCGATGGTCAGGTCATACTGCGACGAGCGATTGCGATTTCGCTGTGGGTGCGGAGGTGCGTGGGAATTGGAAAAGGGTAACGGTGGAGATCTTACAGATAGCCATCAGGATTGAGACCCCCTCACGGGCATTTTCTTGCGACTGCCGTACAAAGTGC